AGCTGTATGGAGATTTCTGGACCTACTAAACATAGAGCTTCCATATGATCCAGCAATTCCACTCCTAGGTATTTACCCAAAGGACACAGAAACATCAATTCCAAAGAACACCTGCACCCCTATGTTTATAGCAGCACTGTTTACAATAGCTAAGCTTTGGAAACAACCCAAATGCCCAAAAATAGATGACTGGATCAAGAAGATGTGGTACATATATACCATGGAATATTACTCAGCATTCAAAAAAGATAAACACATGCAATTTGCAGCAACATGGATGGCGCTGGAAGGGATCATGCTCAGCGAAATAAGCCAAAAAGAAAAAGAAAAATACCGGATGGTCTCACTCATAGCAGGAATCTAGAAAACTTAAATAAGGGACCAGGAAAATGAATAACTATAAGAAAGTGAAAATCAAAATCAACAAAAAACTATGAACCAGAGACACTTTTTTGGGGGGCGGGGGCGGGAGGGAGGGATTGGGGTCAGAATGGGGGGCTGCAATTGTATGGGGAATATAAAAATAAAATTTATTATTTAAAAAAAAATAATAAATAAATAAATAATAAAATAAGTTCATAACTTTTAATGAGTTATGTAAACCCCTTTTTAAATGTATAATCTTGGGAGTTCAAAGAACTTGAATAATGTTTGTGATACACACGGTGTATAGAAGATTAAAGTTCTGTGTGGATGATTCTTGAAATCGAAACTTAAGCTTCAATTGAACATCCAAAATGGAGAATTTGAAATTTTAAAATGTATTTTACTGTTATGTAAATTATAGGTAGCCTAAATAGAGAGTTGAATGTTTTGTTCCTTTATGTTCTAGAGAGTAATTTTCATTTAAAAATTTATTTGATTTTCAAAGCAGGATTTTCCATTAGAAATCCAGTTTAAGTGTGGCAAATGTTTCCATTTGTTTAATATAAATCCCCATTAACTGGTCCATCCAGGATTCAAAAATAAAATAAAAATTAACATTTTATGATTTGTTAAAAAAGCTAAGATTCTAAAAGCATCTGATGTATTTGGTTTAACCTAGTATTAATTATAATTTATAAAATTAAATTTAAGTTTCAATGCACAACTCATGTTTAGTGTTTGTGCTTATGAAATTAGCTTTTACAGTTCATCCTGTGTCCTAAGTTTTCTAGATAATAGTTTACCATAATTCAGGTTAACTAAAAATATTTCATTTTATTGCCTTTATCCCATATTAATTCAAGTTGCTAATCCTGTGTAATTATCCACTACTTTGAAAATTTGTCAGTCTTTATATATTTTCTGTTTATTTTTTTTGGATCCTCTAAGAGATTGTTTTAACCTGTACTTTTTCAAAGAAATAAGATTGTGGATTGTTTTTAACTTAGATCTGTTTGTAAATCTTGCAGATTAAGGTGTTTCCTTTCTTATCATTCTCTCCACTTCTCCCTCCTTCCTGCCAGTGGTCTCTGCCTCCTGAGTTCTCCTCTGGATTTTCATCTCATGACCTAATGCCTTAGTTTTGTTGTTTTTTTTTTTTCCATGAGGCAATGTTTGCACACAGCTGTTCTGTAATGTATAGCATATATTGGCTTAAGCATGGAAATTTCGCTTCTGTAAAGTGGTTTGGGATACATTTTTGTACAAGAGGGGATGCCAAACTGAATTGTGAATTGTAATGTGCAGCCAAAGTCACCTCTGCTTGCCCCTCCAGGAAGCAGTTCACAGTTTTAATAATTATAATGCCCAATTGCAATGACTTCCAGAGTTATATGTAAGCCTTTCAAGCAAAGATTATCTCCTCCTTATTTTTGTACACCTTTCCTGATGTGATAAACACTTTATAAATGATAAGTTTGGGAGAGCCAGGGCTTTCCAGCATACATCTTATGCAGCATATGTGTATTTAAAGCTGGAGCCATTTTGTTTCCTTTCCAAGTTTGCTAATCTCACAGGAATATAGAATAACCAATCTATAAACTAGAACTCCGAATAGGAAAGTGTTTTTTGAAATGAAGTGCAATTAATTAGTCCCAGTACCATTGTCATTGGATAGTTAGTAGTGTAGAAAGGTCAATTAGTTTAAAAATTAATTATTTAGAGAAGGAAGCAGCAAGAATATCTACATATTCCAACTCCAGGCTGATTTTTCAAATTACAAAGAAAAAGATTAAAATAAATTTAAAACTCTGAGCTTCTGTTTTCTATAGCCCTCCAACTGGGGGTACACATGTGACCAGGAGTCCGCCAATAATCACTCCACAGCCTCCTGCTCACAGTGATTGGCTCAGGGATTCATATGTGACCAAAGTGAAGCCAATCAGAGCCCTTCTGAGGATTTTTCTGTAGAGAAGATTCCTTGCCTCTTGTATCTTACAGATGACAAGATGGGAATTAGGGCCTCTCACAGGCAGCATACCTCTCTGCTAGGAAAGCTCTGTGGCAGGAGTGAAGAAGGACAAGCAGAGACAAGCAGAAGAGGAAAGGGGAGAGACGTCTTGGAGGCAAGCACCCTGCCATTTCTGTCATTTCAATATGAGCCAACAAAATTCCCCTTTTGTGTTTAAGCTGATTTGTGTTGAATTTTGTCAGAAACAACTAAAAGAGTCCTGACAAATTATTTTTGTTGGAACTGACTACCTCCATGAATAAGAAAGCATTGTTTCTCCCACACAAATTCCTCCAGCTTTTTACTGGTAAGGTAAAATAGAAAACATGGAATATATGTGTTCACCCCGGAAAACAGTTTAAAACACCACTAGCTCCTTGTGAGAGTACCTTTCAAGCTATAGGAAGCAAATGCTGTATAAATGAAACTCTGCAATAGAAGAAGCACCGTTGTTTCATGTTTTAGGCATCAATGTTTTAGATTTTGTGTTCATTTTACTAATTTTGTTATGTTCCACTTGAGCCATGTCTTCCACAACAAGGTTAATTAAGTTTCATGTTTTTAAACTCAATTTTCAATTATTAGCACTCCTGTCCCCAGAATGAAATTCATTTCAAGGCAAGGAAAACCATAGGTGAAGCTGTAGAGCACCCAGTATAACCTTATAGTCTTAGTCAGGCATACTTCAATAACCTCATGCTGCTTTTTTTTAATAAATTTTATTTTTATATTCCCCATAAAATTGCAACCCCCTTATTTTGACCCCAAGCCCTCCCCTCCCTGCCCCCCACGCCCCCCATAGAGTGTCTCTGGTTCATACTTGTTTGTTGATTTTGATTTTCACTTTCTTGTAGTTATTCATTTTCCTGGTCCCTTATTTAAGTTTTCTAGATTCCTGCTATGAGTGAGACCATCCGGTATTTTCTTTTTCTTTCTGGCTTATTTCGCTGAGCATGATCCTTTCCAGCGCCATCCATGTTGCTGCAAATTGCATGTGTTTATCTTTTTTGAATGCTGAGTAATATTCCACAGTGTATATGTACCACATCTTCTTGATCCGGTCATCTATTTTTGGGCATTTGGGTTGTTTCCAAAGCTCAGCTATCGTAAATAGTGCTGCTATAAACATAGGGGTGCAGGTGCTCTTTGGAATGGATGTTTCTGTGTTCTTTGGGTAAATACCTAGGAGTGGAATTGCTGGATCATATGGAAGCTCAATGTTTAGTAGGTCAAGAAATCTCCACACAGCTTTCCATAGTGGTTGGACCAGTTTGCACTCCCACCAGCAGTGCAGGAGAGTTCCTTTTTCTCCACAACCTCGCCAACATTTGTTGTTGCTAGTTTTTTTAATATGTGCCATTCTCACTGGTGTAAGCTGGTATCTCATGGTAGTTTTGATTTGCATTTCCCTGATTACAAGTGATGTTGAAAATTTTTTCATATGCCTGTTGGCCATTTGCATTTCCTCTTCAGAGAAGTTTCTTTTTAGCTCTTCTGCCCATTTTTTGACAGGATTATTTTCTTTGTTGTTGTTGAGTCTCATCAGCTTTTTGTAGGTTTTTGTGATCAGTCCTTTATCATTAGTGTTGTGTGCAAAAATGTTCTCCCAGTCAGTGGGGTTTCTCTTTGTTTTTGCTATTGTCTCTTGCTGTGCAGAAGCTCTTTAATTTGATGTAGTCCCAGCTGTTGATCTTTGCCTTCACTATCACTGCTTTGGGTGATGTGTCTGTAAACATGTCTTTGATGTGCATATCACATAGTATTTTGCCTATATTTCCTTCTATGTATTTTATGGTTTCAGGTCTTATGTCTAGTTCTTTAATCCATTTTGAGTTGATTTTTGTGTATGGTGTGAGGTAGTGGTCAAGCTTCATTCTTTTGCATGTAGTGACCCAGTTTTCCCAGCACCATTTATTGAACAAACTTTCTTTGCTCCAATGCATATTCTTTGCTCCTTTGTCAAAGATTAGTTGACCATAAATCTGTGGGTTTATTTCTGGATTTTCTATACGATTCCATTGATCTGTGTGTCTGTTCTTGTTCCAATACCATGCAGTTTTGATGATTATGGCTTTGTAGTATAGTTTGAAGTCTGGGAGTGTGATGCCTCCATTCCCTTCTTTTTTTTTTTCAGGAGAGCTTTGGCTATTTGGGGTTTTTGGTGATTACATATTAATTTCATCAATAATTGTTCTATTTCTTTGAAGAATGACATTGAAATTTTTATTGGAATAGCATTGAATCTGTATATTGCTGGCCACCTCATGCTTCTTTTTGGGGGGTAGGGGAATCCTCTTTTCTCTTGCTGCTAAGTTGAATTCAGTTCAGAGAAAGTATGATTTATAAATTTGCATTCAAAGAAAGACTAAAAACCTGTTAGATGCAAATATGGTCACTCATAATTTGTTTTAATTTGTTATGTTATGTGTTTTGGGATCCTGTTTTCAGAATTTTGTGTTCTGGTGACAAGTGCTATTTGGAGGCATACTAGAGTTAGCAGCTTTGTGATGGTGTTGTTTGATTTGGCATTTGTATATGTCAGGGTAAAGTTTAATTGTTATATCAAAGAGACCCAACAATGCATTGGCTTGAAAAACAAAAAGTTTATTTTTCATACATGGGACAGTCTTGATGGTAATCGTTCAGTTAAGCACAGAATCTCTGCTCCTCATAGTCACTCTGGGACACAGGTCTCTTCTGAGGTTGCTCTACCCCGTAAGAGATGCTAGGAAACACCCTCTTGCTGAGATACCGTGGATGGTGGAAGAAAGAGAGAATGGATTTAGGCTGTTGTTCTCAGTATTATAGCCTTTTAGTTTCTAACATTGTTTCACATTTCCTGTATATTACTTTAATGTAATATACATGTAGTGTATAATACGTATACATAAATATACTTTAGTGTAATATACATGTAATATACTTTAGTATAATATACATGTAATATACATTTCCCATATATTCCTTTAGTGTAATATTCATTATAAAACTGATGTATCATCCTGTGCCAGACAGAGATAAGGGAAAATAAACTATAGTCACCAAGTATTGCTAAAAATGAGACTCAGTAGTTATCTTTTTTTTTAAGATTTATTTATTTATACAAGAACTGGGGTACAGGCTAGAGGCCTAGGAGGGTAAGAGAATTCACCAGAGACAGAGTGGGGAGCAGAACAGACGGACCAAAGACAGGAGAGGTCTGCCGCACCGTGTGAGTATCTCCCTGGCCAGCCAGGAATCGAATCCGTGCTGCAGAGCCTCGAACCCACATTTTGTAGAGCCTCACAGCACTGAGCTCAACTCTCTGCGCCACCGGGGAAGCCCTAGTAGTTATCTTAATGTTAACTCTATCCTTTACCTTTCCACCTCTCTTCTCTAGTGCTCTGACTCCAAGAGGCCCAAGAAGTCACTGCTCTTGCTACCATATTCTCATCTTTACCATGCCTCTCTTCTCTCCTTCCCAGCCAAGTTCCATGATAGCACACGTGCTTTCCTTTGCCCTCTCACCTTCTCATATTCATTTGGTAAAATTTCTTCCCAATTAAATCTAAATGGTTGAATGTGGTTAGAGAAAACACTTTAAATCCATGGCCACAAACCTCAGTGGACCCTCAATATTACCTAGTAATCATGCTCCATTTTCCTGGTCCATCCCTCCCTTTGTCACAAAGGCAACTATTTCATACCTTCTCCTCTGCTCTCTGCAAACTCCCATGCCTCATTCTCACACTCAGTTGATAGTCTTACTTCCCATTTGCTGAGAAGATAGAAACAGAAGAGAACCAGCATCTAAAATGGTGCTGAAAAAAATGAGGCACACAGTAGATACTCCAAAAATGTTTAATAGATGAAAACTTGTCCACCACCTAGAAATCTGAGATAAAGCACATTTATTATTGTACACTGGCAAAGAAACACTCCACAGTGTTTGTTGGGATGGGAGCCATGGAAGCAGATATTGTTTTCAGTGAGTTAGTAATTTAAGAATATTAGCTGAAATAAAACATTGATTATTATTTAGATAATGTTTCTATGAACAATACTGTTATCTTCTATTACAACTAAATATTTTTATTATGAAATCTATCTGTCTTTTTGTTTATGTAATATCCTACACTTTAGTATCCAAATATTGTTCTTCAGCTGGTACTTATTTTACATGAAGTATAATCAGTTTCATTTTTGTGAACTTTTCATATGGAAATGAAGATTAGCTTTATCCACCATTAATAGAAATCCTATGTGATTAAACTGTATGGATGTCTCACAACTGAAAGAAGAGTCTCTAACTCTGAATCTACTTTTCCTCCCTGACAAACCACTTTGATTAAAAAAAAAATGGGGTGTATGTAATTTACCTAAAACACTTGACTTAGTCATTTGTTGTTCATGGGGTCATGGCTCAGAGGCAGGTGTTGATTAACAGTTCAAAATTAAAAGTTGGTATAGCTATAGTTCCAGGTCATCAGTAAATATAAAATTAAGCACTATCACCTAAAACAAAGTAAAGCAGTATAATTAATTAAAAGCAGGAGATGTGGCTATATATTAAGGCAATGGTAGAAAATATTTTAAAAGTCTTAAGTCTTTTTCTCTATTAAGATGATTGTGATTGTAAGAAATAATACTAATATAGAAAATCATTATACTTCACTCTGCTTTTATTTTTTAAAGATAATTGGTGTTAGTGACAGAAAAGAAAGAACTAGCTACTTTGACCTAGAAATCTGAATTCTTCCCTTAGCAAGAGGCTGTGCCTTCCTCCCTTTGCTGTACTGGTATCCAATGACTAAGGGTGGAGCTGGTTTGGGAGCCACGTTTCCTCTCCTTGGTTTTTGGGTGCTCATGCCATTGAAAGGAGCAGGGGGAGAAAGCTGTTTTCCTGGAAATGGGAGACTCTTGCTCTCATTACCGAAACTGTATGTGGTCAAGATATAGAAGCATCTGCACTGCAGCATGGCAATCATATATATGGTCAGTGGTTTGATAGGATGGTTGGTTTTCTTGGATATCCATTCTTAAGGATTTAAAAAAAATTCTGATGTAGGATCATAATTCTTACTATTAAGTTGAAGTGAACAGAAACTATCAACTAAATATTATCTTTATGGCAACTTTGGAAATTTGTGACAGTCAAAAACTGCAGAAATTAAAAATACTCCAGTTAGTATAATTTTAAAACTATACAAGCCCAATGGACAGAATTTGTGGTTACATTTGGTAAATGTTTAACAATTAGCAGTCTGGGAAACAAACAAAAATTCCTATTTGTAGCCTTTGTAAAATAAGCAATTCTTCTCATTTATTCACATTTCCTTCTCTGTAAAGACATGTTTATGAACTTCTAAAAGTGTTTTTCCATCTGTTAACTTAATCTACAACTTATTTTTCTGCTGGTGTTTCTCCTTGCAGTTCTGATTGTGTTAGCATCCATATAATAGCAATAAACTTGCCTTAAATGACCAACACCTAGCCAAGGGCATGGGGAAGTTGCTCTGGGGCAAATAAGAGAGTTAAATAACAGAACTGAAACAGGATAAAAAAGAATCCCTTCCATTAAGTTAAAATACCAAGCAATAATTTTTAAAGATATTACATTGAAATGAAATTGGGTTTGATAATTAATGTACTTTGTTTACAAATGAGATCTTTCTGAGTTTAATAATTTTCAACCTTTCTGTTTTTTATTTCAAAGTGTGATTTTTTTTTAAAATCCACTTATCTTAAAATGCTGCCTCAACTTTTCTTCCTCCCTTATTCATGCTCTAACCCATGATTTTAAGATATATCTGATACTTACTTTCCTAAATTCTTACACCAATTAGACAGTAAACTCTACGTGAGCAAGGACTATGTGCCAAGGAAATTATTGCTTCAGTACAGGCTCACAGCCACTATTTAGTGTTAGTTTCCTTAGAAAAATTCAGGCAAATAATAAATGTTTATTAAAATGTTTGCTTCAAGCTTTTCAAGGAAGACCGTGGCTTCCCCAAAAGCACAACTTTTAACAACAGCTTTCAAATCTGCCAAATCTCATCGCCCACTTAGCCAGTTCAGTGGGTATAATATTAATTTACTGAGCTACAAAGGTAGTGTGCCTTAACTGTTATTAGGGGAAAGCATAATATATCTGATTTCCCTTTATGAGTCTCACATTGCTTATAATTCAGTAGGGCTACCACATTTTCTGGGCAGGCTATCAAATAGGATGTTGTAATGATTTGCTTGACTAGTAGAGTAGATGAAAAATATCATTTCTGTCTGTAGCTGTTCTATTCTGGAATTTCAAATTTGCAGTTTGAAACCATTTATTCCTCTGTGGTTCTCTTTCAAATATAAAAAGATTCGTTCATATTTTAAAGAGTTAAACATTGTCCACAAAATTAATTAAGGTAGTGGTGAGAACAATGTGAATTTCAGAGAACAGAAGTCTTAGATTTAACTTAAAATGCTAAGGAAGGGGCTGTAGTATAATGCAAAGATTTTTGGCTTACTTGAAGGAAAACTTAGGTTTTACTTTTAACTGACATCTTGGGGGTGCTTGAATGCCCAATTCTCCATTTGCATTGATATCCTTTCGCAGTTCAAGGAGAAGTCAATATGTTTCTATTTCATAAAATGTCACTTACCAAAATTATCTTTAGAATAATCCACTCTACTTTGAGGGAGACAGGGACTCTGAACCTAGTTGTAGATTTCCTTCCTGTTCTGAACATTATCATAAATTCTTTGAATGCCTAATTTCCCTGACTGTTATCTAAATCTCTAAAACTTCATTGTCTGCATATAACTGAACAGAAATTCCATCATTGTAGCAGGTTTATTCTTTTATGTTGTCCAGTTTCCTTTTTGAACCACTACTACTTGTCAGACAGCCTCTGGTCCTTAGTGCAATTCGATGAACAGTACAGACAAATCTTTCTGTCTTGGTGAAGCTTATATTCTATTGGGAGAGGCAGACAGGAAATGATAAACAAATAATGTAGTGCCTTAGATGTTGCTAAATACTGTGGGGAAAGGAAAAGTCAGAGCAGCAGGAGGAAATTTTATCAACACTGAGGAAGGAGGAGAGAGCTATGTTAGTGTGGTCAAGGCTATGTGTTAACACCATGAGGGAAGTTGGCCAAGTATAATCTCGAGGAATTTCTTAACAGACAGAGGGCACAGCTACCACAAAGAGGCAGATGTGAAGAAGTCCTGTTTGGGAAATAATGAAAAGTCAGCATGGCTGGAGTAGCATGAGTAAGGGGAGTGCAGTAACAATGTTCTTGAGAGACATCATGCGAGATGGATGGCATAATTTTCTGAGTGGAATGCAGGGGAATATTCTGATCAGAGGAATGGTGTGAAACAACTCACAGTTGGAAAGGATCACTTAGGCTGCTGGGTGAGAACAGATGGATGGGGTCAAAGGTAGATGGAGGGAGACCTGTTAATGGGGTGCTGCAGTTAATCAGCTGAGAGATGGCGGTCATGACTCAGGCTAGAGTGGGGGCAGTAGAGGAAGTGAGAGAAGCTAGAAGGCTGGGTCTATTTTGAAGTAGACCCAATGGGATATCCAGATAGGTTAAGAGGGGGTTTTGAGAGGCATAGGAGTCCAGTACGATTCTCATGTGGAAAAGGTTGTTTTTTGTTTGTTTTGTGTTGTATTTTGAGTAGAGGTGGAGGGAAGGGGTCAGGAGTCCAGTTTTAGAAGTGAGAATTTTGAGAGATGGTTATTAAATATCCAAGTGGCTGTGTCAAACAGACAACCAGATATTTAAGTCTAGACTTGGAAAGTGAAGTCTGGGCTAGAAATGTAAATTGGCAAGTTAACATATAGATGGTAATTAAAACCATGGCTTGAGGTGAGATCACCAAGGGAGTGAGTGCAGATAGAGAACCTCTTAAGTGAATTTCATATATTTGGTGTTATTTACTCAGTGGGCCTATAAAGTTAAATACTCCCTCGTCTTAAAGAGCTCATGGTCTGTATTTGGCTAACCATTTTTGCAAGTCCAGGAGTTGCCATTAACATAGATTACAATGTCTGGAGATGAATAGTGCAATGGTTGGGTATGTGGGTGGAGCCTATGCAAAGACAAACAATTACATATTTCTATATATTACCAGTTGTAGTATGGTATGATAAAGGCATTCTTAATATACGAAGTGAAATTGTAATGTGATGTAATGTAGTTGGTAATATAAAATATAACATAATTGATCTCTGTCTTATAATTATAAAGGAGCTGTAAATTGACTTAGTGATAAGAAGGTTGAATAAATTTAAAATAATCTGTTCTCAAATAATGTATTTTAGAACAGATTAATATATAATAACAATGTTTCCTGGTTATTGGTAGAAAGAAAGGAAGGGGGAGAGAGAGATTTTTTGAATGGTCTTTAGCTCATAAATATCAGCTTTGTGACTTAGAGCAAGCAATCTCAAATATAAAGTACACCCCAGCAACGATGAATTAAAATTTTGCCCAAAAACCTTTAAATATTTGTCTAAATTTTCTGTCATTTGTGTTATGAGAACCATGATGTAGTCTCTTGAAGGTGGTCGACAATTTGTGATAAAGGCAAACTGTTATGCAAGACTAGAATTGATGAGAATGACACTTCAGAGTATAAATAACAACAGTAAATCATTGTGCCTGAAACAGATTTATGCATCTTACTGTTCTCTGCCCAACGTTCTTCCCTTTCCATGTAAGGTCATTCTCAATGTGCCATTTCTATGCCCACCTTTGAAATTCTTCAGACTTTCAGGCACCCTGGGTATGGCAGGAGGTTGGATCCCAACTCCTACCACAATGCCCTGAAAGCACACAGCCCTCAAGAATCATGTACAGGCCTGCTAGGTGCTGATTCACTGCCCTCTCACATTTATATAGCAGCTAAACATCTGAATATGTGATTAATATTGTAATTCTGTATTCAAGTACTTCCTGTGCTTTATTTCATATAATTTTACCAATACTTCTGTACTTATAATGCTTACATTACTGAAATAAATAATTGCCAGTTGAGTTTATCTTAAGTATTAGTTGATATGATAGCATGTATGGTAATCCTAATCGGCATTAATTTATTTATTCAACAAAATTTCCTTGTGCTGAGTGCCAGCCTTTATGCAAAATGATGAGGAAATAAAGATGAGTAAGCAGGTGGAATCTCTGTCCTCATGAAGCTTTCTGACAAAAAACTGTAGGAACACATCAGAGGCTCCTGTGTCTGTCAGAAATTGGTTCAGGTACAAGTGGCAGAAAAGCAAAATAGCAATAGTTCAAAGGAAATAGAAATTTTTTTTTTCCCCAACATGAACATCTAGAGGTAGACAAACAGAACAATATGTCAGGGACTTCTGTCTTGTTACTGTGTTGTGTGTAGTAACCTTTATGTTCAAAGTCACCTATAAGTCCAAGATAGCTACTCCTACCTTATGTCCAATTCCAACAGCAGACAGGAAGACAAGGGAGGAGAAGAGCTCCTTACTTTTAGAACACTTCCCAGAAATGTCTCAAACTACTTTAATTTACATTCTAGAACTTAGTCATGTAGTAATGCAATATGTATGCTGGACAGCCAGGAAGAAGAACAGATGAATACTATGAAACAAATAACAACCCCCACCACAGAGCTTTTGTGAAATTATTACCTAAATGGAGATCTGAAGATAAGTAAGATTCTCACAAGTGTATGTGTGTGCATTCTCAAAGGATGACAACATTCCAGAGAAAACAAAAGGTCCAAGGAACTAAACACTGGGGAGAAACTATCCTTTCATCAATCATGGTCAATTATTGCATCATAGTGGTTTTTCACTTTACTTAGCAAAGAGGCATGGGGCTCAGGTTATAGCATTGGAAGGAGATAAGGTTGATGTTCAGTGCAGTTTTGTGGTTAAACATCCAGGAGATCCAGTTGGGGGCTTGAAGAAGGTTTTCTACAGGATCAGCTTAGTATTTTTCCCCAAAAATATTGGTGCAGGTGAGGGCATGTCGTTGAGCCAGTTCAAATAAGAGAGCATTCAAAGGGATAGCTTAAGTTTACAGGGTCAAGGGCTAACCCATGCCTTTCTGTGCTCATGGTACAGTCATATTACCAGTTTCATTCAACTCTTTGAGAGCAAAACTTCTAGATTGTATTTGTTTTGAGAATGATGTGTCTTGAATGGGCAACTAGTATGGATTGCTAAAAGGACCCCGATATTTCAGAATCATTTTCTTTGATTCTTTGATGTGTTAGACGTTAAACTTCATGAGAAAAAAAGAAATTATTAAACTCTGATTCCAGTAACTCAGTATTTACTTGTGACTTCATACTAGGTAAGAGAATTGCCAGGAAGCACATCATACAATTTGGCTTCTTGAGGTAACTTCTAGATGTATGGCTGTTTAATTCATCTGATTTTATTTTTATGATTATCTCCATGAAAAATAATCAATCTCACAGTTCTTTGTTATCCAGTGAAAGATAACAAGTAACCATTCCTGCCCTGAGTCTAAGCTTAGCTCTGGATCAGATCTAAAATCAAAACCTCATATCACTTGCAATGGCTCTAGTCTCTCTGCTTGTAATGTATTTTGTTGCTAACTTGAATTCTGCAAAATTGCTTATTTTGGTTAAAAATAATAATGGAGGAATAGTCAGTCACACAGAGATTCTGAACCAAGGAGATTACATTTCACATTTTAAATTACACTTTGCTTTTGACCAAGTCATATTCAGTGGCTAGTTTCATAGATGGGCATTGACTCATTCTGATTTAAGAGGTACATATGTTGAAAGATGATGCTATTACTTGTAAACAAAGGAAAGAGGGTAGGGGCATCTGAGTTCATGTGTTTGCATGGAATACATGCTAATGGAAACAGTGGGAGGATTAATAGACAGATGAGTAGATATTTGGAAAAACACATAAACAGAAGTTAATGTTACTCCTTTGCTTCAAATCCCTCAAAATGTCTTCAATGAATATGGAGTAGATAGTAATAAGAAAAATTGATGAGCTATTTAAAAAACCTTGCACTGGCTCCTTGTGACCTATGAGATGAAGACCCTGAGCATGAACCTGACCCTGACCTATATACTTCCAGTCTCATCTCTTAATAAATTGTTGGAATTCATGGTTCTTTTAGCAAACTTTTTGAGAGATGTATCAACTAGTACCAGTTGAGCTTAATATTTTGTATTTTTAAATACAAAATTAGTGGGAGAAGTGTAGTGTACTCGCTTTGGCAAGCTGATTCTGAGTCGCTTATTCCTTTATGCTCATGAGTTACACAAAAGTGCACTTTGTAGACAGTTTATATACTTGGTAAGAATGCTATTTTATGTCAGAGATTCAAGGGTATTTTTTATTTATAGGATTTGGTCTTTTTCCTCTTTTAACTACTATAATAGCGCTTAAATTAGAATTGTGAGCAAGATATGCATACACCCACACACATGAATTGAATTGAAGAACAAAGAAATAAACAGGATATTAGACTTATAAGGTATTATAGGTTGGTCATTCAATATTTCCCTTTACAGATAAGGAACTGATATGCCTTGGGGTAAATTATCGTTCTTTGCAGGCACCAGGACAAGAATTCTGGTACCTGATTCTTCAAGGTACAATGTGAATTTTCAAGGTAAGGGAAATGCATTGGCTCCATACTGGGATACACTCACCCATGCAAACTTGAACAATGAAACTTATTAATAAAGCTAAATTAGTGACCCAGAGGCTTTACCATAGTGCCCAGACCTCTCAAATGTATGTTACCACCTCACCCCCATCGTCAAAGCACCCATGGCCTTTACCCTAGACCATTTGACCCCCTACCTAGTTTGTTCCTTCCCCCATCCTTCTTCCTTCTTTATCAGCCTTTAGTCTGCAGTCATAGTTCTAGGGTTTGTTTGGCCTCATTCCTTTTTTTCCCCTCTATATTCCACTTAGGAGTGAAATTATCTGATATTTGTCTTTCTCCTGTGATTTATTTTACTTGGCATAATCCCCTCCAGCTCCATCCATGTTGTAAGAGTTCATCCTTTTTTATAGTTGAGTAGTATTCCATTGTGTACATCTTAATCTGCTGCTCTGCCAATGAGCATTTAGGTTACTTCTATAACTTAGCCATTATTGTAAATAGTGCTACAATGAACATAAAAGTGCATATATCCCATTGAATCACTGACTTTGTATTTTTTGGGTAAAAACCTAGGAGTGGAATTGCTGGATTATATGGTATATTTGTTTTTAATATTTTGAGGGACCTCCATTCTGCTTTCCATAGGGGCAGGACCTGGATATATTCTGATCAACAGTGTATGAGGGTTCCTTTTACTTTATGACCTCACTAATATTGTTGTTTCTGGGCTTTTTCATATGAGCAGCTCTCATTAGAGTGAGGTGGTATCTCATTGTGATTTTGATCTGAATTTTCCTGATGATAAGTGATGATGAAGATTTTTTCATGTACCCATTCTATTTTCAATTTTCTTTGAAGAAGTGTCTATCTTCTTTGAAGAAGTGTCTATTTAGCTCTTCTAGTCATTTTTTAATTGTGTAGTTGTTGTTGTTGCATTATATAAATTCTTTATATATCTTAGCTACTAGACCCTTATCAGATGTATAAAATGCAAATATTTTCTCCCATTCAGTAGAGTGTCTTTTTATTTCTTTCACCACATAGAAACCTTTTAGTTTGATATAGTCCTGTTCATTTATTTCTGCTTTTGTTTTCCTTGCCATTGAAGTCATGTCCCCAAAGACATCCCTGAAGCCAGTGTTATGGAGTGTTTTTCCTGTGTTTTCTTCTATGTATTTTATGGTTTCCAATCTTATATCCAAGTCTTTAATCCTTTTGAGTTAATTTTTGTGTTTGGGGTGAGAGAGTGATCTGGTTTCATTTTTCTGCATGTGGGTGTTCAGTTTTCCCAGGACATTTGTTGAAGAAACTTTTCTTTCTCCATTATGTACTCTTGACTTCTTTGTCAAAGATTAACTGTACACATAAATGTGGTTTTATTTCTGGGCTCTCAAAGCTATTCCACTGGTGTGTGTGTGTGTGTATTTTTATTCCAATACCATACTATTTTAATCACTATAGCCTTTTTGAAGTCTGGGAGACTTATACCTCCATTTTTCTCCTTTTTTGTCTGGATTGCTTTGGCTATTCAGGATCTTTTGTGGTTCCATATAAATTTCAATAATGTTTGCTCTATTTCTTTGGAGAATTCCATTGAAACTTTGATAGGCCATGCCAGTAGTTTGTAACTGAGAAGTCACCTCTGCTCAGTTAGACAATAGGAAAGAGGGTTTTAAAATTGATTTCAAAAACTAGAAAATTTCTCAAAGTGCAGTGGTTAAGATCATGGGTTTGGTTGGATTAGGACTTTACTTTCTAGCTGTGAGATCTTAGAGAGATTATTTAACCTTGTATGCCTCAATTATCTTAGCTGTAAAATAGGAATATAATACCTGCTATCACAAACAGCCTTTATGAAGATTAAATGAGATCATCTAAGTACTGCTTATAAGCATTTAAACATGCAATAAACCTACCATGAAATAAACTCCTAAACATACTTTCTATCAGCTGTTAGTGCTTTACTATGTATAGAATTGTCAGCACTCTCTGGTGAGATAGGAGGCATCGGTGTCTTTATTACATGGATATTGAAACAGGCTCGTTATTTTCCATGTTAGCAAATGTCTTTCTGTGTTGGGGGAGTGAGCTTCTTTCCTTCTTTCTTTTCTTCTCTCCTGTTCTTCCCATATATTTATTTATTGAACTGGATTGGGATACAGTAATTCCTGTTAACTTGGATTTAGGACATCTGATTTTTCCCCCATTTTCTTTCCCCTGTTTATGTCAGAGCTGTTATAAGAATGTACTCACTTACCTATCTTGCTTCCACTGAAAGAAAATCACATTATACTTTTGTCTTTTGCCACTAGCCTACACCATTAGCTGTCATGTCCAAAGTCCCAGGGTTTTTTATTTGAATCGTCATACTTGAGAAATCAATAGGGTCAGGGAAATAAGAACCAGTGTTTACATAAGTGTTTATTGGACTTTTCTTTATCATCTTTCAGGTCTTGTAGAAATTTGCTTGATGCACCCCCTCGATGTGGTGAAAACCAGGTAAGGTTCTGCATGAACAAGTTTTATTGACTTTGGCTGATATCCAAATTAAGATCTGTCAGAACACTAAATGCTAGAACTTGTCCTAGGCCGGTAGCTTCTCCCAATAATGGCATTTATATTTACTTCTAAAAGAAAATACTATTTGACAGATAAAATGTGAACAGTGAAAAGCATTTTTGGATAGAGGTCATCTGAAGGTATATAATATTTTATTGCTATCACATGACAACCATAAGTTATGATTTGTGGGTAAACTGATAAATGAGGTAAATTTATCAAAATGATGTAGAAACTCAACTTTATCCAGTGAATTATGAGAGCTGACTTTCTTTGGCATTTCATATTAACAGATTGATATTTAATTGTCAGCATCTTGGTGTAAGTCCCCCAAATTTCAGGTATGCTTCTTAAATGATGCTTAAATAATTTATTCCTATAATTCTTTGCCGATGCAAAATGCCATATTTCTAGGAAAATGCAGCTACTTTTACAGGGAGATACAAGTCAGGATAATGTATGAGATTTATTTCCTAAAAGGAAAACAAAAATCTTGTGGGTTTTAATATAATCTCAAGCACTTATGATAAATTAAACCTGTGCTGAATTACTAAACTCTATCTTTTTTTCAAACTAGAAGCTCTTGGCATGCAATGAAAGTATCCATTTGTGTGCATTGTATAAAACACAAGAATACTATAGCTAGGTTGGAGCTTAACCAGTGCCATGCAACAATGGTGATTGAATAAGCCCTTTTGCCACAATTAGGAAATGCTTGATGAGTCACAACGGTCACTGAATGGGCATGTTGCTTAATTTAACTAAAGAGACCACAAAATATTAGGCTGGTTGCTGAAAGCAAGGGAAGGTGACTATGATGGGCAAGTAATATTACATTTTTAAGAGAGTAAAGAAAATGAGAATTTAGTCTCTGTCTTATCTCGAGCTGCTATAACAAAATACCAGACTGGATGATAGAAGTTTATTTCCACAGTCCTTTAGGCTAGGAAGTCCAAAATCAAGGTGCCAGTCAATTCTGTTCTTGGTGAAAACCCACTTCCTGACTTATAGACAGTCACCTTCTTGCTGTATCTTCACATGTCAGAGAGCTAAACTCCCATCTGGGGGCCCCACCCTCACTAGCTCATGTAAACCTGATTATCTTCCCCAAAACTCCACCTCCAAATACATCTTATTAGGGCTCCAATATATGCATTTTGGAGACATATAAATGTGGCTCACTATGGCCTCAAGTCACCAAATCCAAACAGAAAGAGAAGAAAGTCACAAATCATATTCAAGTGTAAGATCTGTATATTCTCTGGACATTTTTTTATTGCTCAAAAACAGAAAACAAAGCTCACTGTCATTTCCTTCCTAGATTCTGTGTTAGCCTTCATTGAAAAGCCAAGATATTGTTGCAAGTCTCACTAAAGATGAAATTAAATGGTATTTTCCTTTTAAGCATAATTTTCAAAATTAATTAAGTGTGGAAATGAGCATAGAAGAGAACTAAGAATGCTTTTAATAAATATGATATTGAAATCATGTGTCTCGGTAGTTTGTTTATCAATTTAGCAAGTATGTCCTGAGTATCCACACCAGCTCAGCCTTGGATGAGCTCATAATCTGATGAGTTAATGAGAATGTCATCATAATCAATTTCAAAATAGTTTATCATTTCATTGCACTAAAGTGGAATAGAATGTTTCTTCAAATGGATGTACCAGTTACTGGGCCTTTATATCTCCTTTATTATATCAGTGTTTTCATGAAAATGGCATTCACTGATTGGAGTTAGTCATATGCCCTTGCCTAACTTCAAGAGGAGGGAAAATGCAATACTTCAGGTGCCCTAAAGGAGAAGGGAACTGGGTACTTGATGGTATTTGATCTGTAGAACAATAAAAAGTTTATTGAATAAAGATCCACAATCATAGAGCAAACTAACTTTGCAACAGAAATAGAATATTGTAAGGTGATCACCGGGCACTAATCCACAGGTGGTAGGGAATGGACAGGACAGACTAAATGAATGATGAAATCTCTTCTCTGTTATATTGTACAGATGGCTACTTTTCTAAATGAGATAAAACTGTAAGCTGTAAAGGATAATACAGGAAACCAATAGCTACAGATGATAAGACCCTATTCACATGTGTATGTTGGAATACCAAAGATTTTTCTAGTTTTGTATTCTCCAGGCATTCAAATAAAGTGATCAGTAATATCTCTTTTATGATATCTCTCGTATTGTCTCTCTTTCCTATGTTCTCTTTCTGTCTCTGTCTCTTCTTTCCCTTCAGTTTTCCTTTTTCCTATATAAGCTTAATTTTGAGGTGACTTTTCTCAATGGCACCAGGGGATCCCAGCAGCTTCAAGTTTACATGGTCTTTGGTGTTTGTACCCTTTCTGAGACAGTAGAATCTAGCAGTTAAGAGCTCTCGCTCTAGAGTTAGACTGCCGGGGTTCGAATCCTGCTTCTTCACTTATTATCCATGTGACCTCAGGTCAGTTGCTTCACTTCCCCTTGCCTCAATTTCCATATCTTTAAATGGAAACACCGGTGGTTTCTACGTTATTGTGAGAAGTAAATGAATATATATAAACTTAATGTACACACACATGGTATTTAATACTGTGTGAGCAAAGGAAAGAGGAATACAAAGACAAATGAAGTTTATAGGGTAGTCAAGGAAACACAGGGAGAATACAAAGTGTGGGAGAGGGGAAATGTTTAATGTGGAGTCAGGAGGTTTCAAGTTTCTAAGCCGGAAAACTTGTGTTATGTGAGCGCTGCCTTGAAATCTTTCCACAGAAGGGTGTTTGCAAGTAGAGAGTCCTTTTGGGTCTGAGCGGAGGGGGGTTGCATCCACACAGCCTGCATGTTCCTGATGACATCATTGCACATATCATTGGAGGGTTATGTGCTGATGTTATTAGATGACCCCCCAGGCTAGACCAGTGTTTGGCCTCCAGGAGGTGCCCAGTAAACGCAGTTGAATGAATGAGTAAATCAATATTTGGTAACAATCAGAAACAATAGCTCTATGAGTTCTTTGGCCAAACTGGAATGTCTGGAAAGTGAGAAAATACAGCTATGTTGTCTTCACTGAAAAATATAAGAATTCATGATAGAGGTGGGAAAGAAAATTCTGTTCAAATAAAAAGGGGAAAATTACCTGATAGTATGGTGGGTAAGAATATTTCAAGTTTGCAGTGGAGTTTCAGAGGCTGGACTAGGGAAAAGTGAGGTGAGAAGGCTTCCAGGATGTGTGTCAAGGTGAGCAGTGGGGGGACTGGGCTTGCAGGAGTGACTGAGGGAGCCGAGGAGACACGCTGACAAGCTGGAAATGGAAATTCAAATGCTGGGATTTACTTCATCTATGACAGTATTGGCCGATAGCAATAAAATGCACCGTGCATATAGGTTTCAGTCTAAAAATCACATTTAAAAAAGTAAAAAGGGGCCTCCCCGGTTGCGAAGCAGCCCCTAGACTCTGCAGCGTCAGTTTGATCCCCGGCCACCAGGCGAGGGTTCCACATGGCACGCAGACCTCTCCTGCCGCAGCTGCTCCCCTCAGCAGTGTACTTCGTCAATCTGCCTGTTCTGCTCACCGCTCTGGCTCTGGTGAATTCTCTAACCCTCCCGCACTTCTGACTGTACCCAGTACTTGTATAAATAAAATAAATCTTAAAAAAAAATAATTAAATAAGTAAAAAGAATTGGGTATAGTTAATTTTAAAAATATATTTTATTTAACTTTGTATATCTAAAACATTGTCCAAAATGATTAAAAATTAATTTTAATTTTAGAATTAGATTTATTAATATCATACTTTAATTTTTTTACATTGATTGAATCACTGATATTTGGTGCATTTTTTAAACTTAGTACTAACTAGCTGGGACCATTTCAAATGCTGAATAGACACACTAGTGGTTACCAGATTAGATAGCACAGACCCAGAGAGCAACGGGAAAGGAATCCTTTAAGGGAAAGGAGAGGCAGTCCCCTGGCCCTTTGTAAGCAGAAAACTTTTGCTTGAAATGTACTGACAGTTGCAAATGTGCAGGGTCCTGTGTAGGGAGAACTTTGACCACAGATGCATTTGAAGGTTTGTACCTGTGTGAGAAAAGTGGCATTCGAGAGCCCCAAGGATTGATGGAAGTCACAATCTAAGGGGGGTTTAGCTTATATCCATCCCTTTCACACTTTTAGTCCCAGGAAGGGAAATGGCTCGTTGTGCTTCAGGAAGAGGGAATTACTGAAGTGTTCATTCTGTTTCCCTGAGTCATTTTTCATCATTTTTGTTTTGTTTCATTTTTGAATGGGGCATAAATCAGGTGCAAATGAAATGAATTACCAACCCTGTAAGCACTGGTCTTTTCAAAGCCCACCCCCCACAAAGGGCTGCAGGGCACATGTTCCGGGGGCCACTGGTGAGGGATAGTGGAGAGGAAAGGCCACCCCGCTGCTCCTTGAGGGGTAGCTGCAGGCTGTCAGTGAGTGGACCGGTCAGCTCATACTTTGGCCTTCATCTTTTTTCCCATCAGGACATAACTTGCACTGAAAAGTCTTGTCATACTTCTCTTAAAACATATTAATCACTGTATAAATTCTAAAGACTCACATGGGTTGCAAATCAAGAAGATGTGGTACATATATACCATGGAATATTACTCAGCATTCAAAAAAGATAAACACATGCAATTTGCAGCAACATGGATGGCGCTGGAAGGGATCATGCTCAGCGAAATAAGCCAAAAAGAAAAAGAAAAATACCGGATGGTCTCACTCATAGCAGGAATCTAGAAAACTTAAATAAGGGACCAGGAAAATGAATAACTATAAGAAAGTGAAAATCAAAATCAACAAAAAACTATGAACCAGAGAAACTTTTAGGGGGTGGGGGCAGGAGGGGAGGGATTGGGGTCAGAATGGGGGGGCTGCAATTGTATGGGGAATATAAAAATAAAATTTATTATTTAAAAAAAA